ACTGGTAGCTAATACTATTTTGGTGTTTATCACATCGATGAATATTGCTATCCAGGAGTTTGTATCCTTTAGAGTCCTCTGGTATTGGCTGTGTTTTACGGGGTTTAGCATTTGATAGCTCCGCGGTCGGTAGAAATCTTTTGCTAGGCCTATCCACAGCTGTGACTCGCAATACTGAACGGAGTATATCATGTCGTTTACGTAACTCGTGTAGTAGGGTACCGAATCTCTTATGGGCTATAGAATAATCTTATTAGCTGCTGGGTTATGGAATATTATATGGTTATATGAGCCATATCTTGTGAAAGCTCGTCATACCAGTGTAGTGTAGCGGCAAAAGTCTGATTAGTAGTATCTAATTCCTTTTGCACATCTTCTAATATTGGCTATGGCTCGAGGAACTGTTGAAGAATTCCGTATCGGATCATTTGGTACGTATATTTAGGTAGTTCGACTGTGTATCTCTAAATAGAGTAGCGATATACACCACTATCTTTTTTTTTAAACTGATCAGGTTCCAGGTGGTGTAAGAGGTAGGTCCATCTAATATGCTTGGTCCGTCCTTCACTGTCATGGATGGAAATAGGATGATCTGGAGAGTTAAGGAGATTGTCGAGTCTTTCTTCTATATAGTTGATAAATAATCTCTCTCCTAAGTATTGTGCAAGGCTCTCTCCTTTTCTTAGTATAGTAAGATAGTCATTGTAAAGTCTAATATTTAATAGCAAAGCCTTTGGTACATAAAGCTATTTTAAGTAGAGTCCTTTTTGGCGGCTTAGGAAATCCATTTCGATGCGTTTTGATAATAAGTTGAATTAAGTCTTATCTTAAGAGTAAAAGCCAAGCCGTTTGTAAGAATTGGTGAGAATACTGATAGTGACTAGCTGCTGTGAGTAAAAAAGCTATATTATTAAAGTTTAGGTCCTTAGGAATTAGGTACGATTCTAATATATCACAAGTTTTACTGGAAGAAATTTGTAGTAATAAGCAATATTAGGAGCAGTTCAATTATTATAGACTATAATATAAGGGATCTGAACTTGTTTAATTGTAGTAGTTCTTTCGAAATTAATAGCGGGGTTTATTGTCCTACTAGGTTCTATCTAAAATCGTTACTATGAGCGTGGCCGCTAGGCTTGATACCAAATTTAATATTTGAGCCCAATAGTTTAGGCAGTAAAGTAATAAATTGTATAGATATATTAATTGATTTATAATATAAAGTGTTAAATAAGTAGTTTAAGTCAAGCTGAACAGCAAACTAAAGACTCATATATAGAATATTAGATATTTTGTACGATGTGTTTATTATGTAGGAGAAATCTACGTACTATATGATATTTAATTAGTTAGTCGTTAAATATAATGAATATATTTTAGGTATTTATAACAAAGGATCTTACGGGATCAAAGTTCGCTTCCTTTGTTACTTATATTGTGTTTAGTATTTTTAATAACTCTTTTACTATCTATATTATATTATGAAATTGTTCATATCTTGCGAAGGACCTTCCTAAATTGAGGTGTTAAAGTTTAATATAGAATAATACTTGGCTTAACAGTGGACGTTGAGGTTTATATTATTTCCTCAGTTTATCTATAAGCTTTGATATCTACTGGTAGGTTATGTTGGTTGGTATCCCTGTTTAACTGGGAATTATAGCTATTAGTCCAACGTATAATATCCCCTAGCTAAGAAGAATATTTAAACTTAGAGTGTTTGAGATTGCAATTTTAATATACTTTACTACGGAAATATAATCTATAGTAATTGTATTTAAAGTATCGAGAATCTTACCCTAATAAGGAGTTGAAGTGGTAAATAAATAGTGGTCCTCTGATTTCAAGGAAAGTCGATAGCACCCGTATTTTTTAGAGTCCAAGTGAAATTGCTTATAACCTAGGGATTCCGTATGATCTGTGTAGAATACCTGGGTATTATAGATAGGGAGAAGTGGGACTTGCAAGTTATGAAGTACAACTAACTTAGCCCTGACCTCTGGGAAGGAGTAAACGATAGTGACAGTGATATAGACCCGTCCAAAATTGTCTTCTATATCTCCATATACACGTTTGCTTTCAAACCCTAATCCCGGAAGTTTAGATATATTTATAGTTGTATGTACGGCGTATAATTGGATATCTCTAGAAATAGGGTTTTATATTAACCGAATATAGGGGAGGATTAGGGTTTGAAAATCGACCTGAGTGTATAACTGATGGAAGGACATTTCGGACGTATCTGTACCAATTTTCTATAGTTGTAATATAAAAAATCTATACTTCCTTAACTCCAATTCTACTTAGTCTATTTAAGCTCGTGTTATATATTATATTATATAGTATATAGCTTTTATAGACCTTTTTATAAATTTCAGTTAGAATTTAATCACACGTGGTATGAAGAAGGTTATCTAAAATGGAAATATTGCGATTTATTTCTTATCTTAATAGAAAAAAGCTATGGCGAACTTTATAAGGTGCAGATATATATATTGTTGTGAAGGATTGGGAATTCCTAGTCTATACTATGGTTTTGGAATCAGAGAGCTTATATTTCTAAGAACGCTTTCGGCGATGCTTTTAAATTACGGGTTAGCTTTGTTACGAGCTGGAATATGGAGATATCAGTATTATCTAGAAGTTACTGGAACTTATTTATCTAGGTATATACTTAGATAAGCGCTGCCCGTTTTCAGACTATTTAGGTAAGATATATAAAATATACTTTGAAATATAAAGTATTGATTATAATTATAGGAGATATTAATGAACTTTCAGTATATGTGTTTATGTATAGCCTTGCTAGACTCTGGAAGCTATTCTCGCTTTTGTAGGATATGATCTTATCAAAGTACGAAGGTGCTATAAAGAAGGGCTGGGAGACAAAAGAATTTCTTAATTCGATAGACTTACTTTTCAATGCACCAATGATTAATGAAGTATATTTCTCTTAGGATTAATCCCAATGCGATACAGTCGGTTTTGAAATTGTTCTAACTTTTTTATATATAACAATTGTTTTCTAGATCCACTGCCAAGACCTTGGCTTGAAATTTATATTTATCTAGTAAAGGTGGATATACCTATTTTTAATAAGGAAGTTACGGCTATTTTTATTATCGGTAATTAGGGAATTATAGCTATTAAACTAATTTCTTAGTAGTGGGGCTAAGAAATAACTGTCATGTGTTTAAAGGTCAGACCGATTTTGAGAATTACTGTATTTATATATTCAGTGATTATATAACAACTCTACAATATTGATAAGGGTAGTAATTTACTCTATTTTCGTTTGTTTGGGTGGGTATCTTATTATCAATCACGGCGACGTTGATTTTTATTATATTATTTTATATATATCCCAGAGAAGTATTCAGTCTAGGAGTATAGTGAGAATCCATCGCCTGCCAGGTTAAACTTTACCAATTACAGTAATTATGCCAACACCGGCTCTCCCGAGAAACAATAGCTTAAGGATTCCTTCCGGGATTTTTAAAGAAAAGCCTATATTTAGTGAAGCTCCTTATCCCGTTAATAATATTATAATTACTAAAACTTCCTACAGGTCTGGTTACATGCCTATATATTTAAGTAAAATAAAAGATAACTTATCTTGCTGCAGTACTAGTATATATTACAAAGCTCCACTCACTACCTCGAGTTCACACAATCAGGGTACCAGCGTATATAGCCTATCCCTAATATTAACTAGTTCTTCTAATCCAATGGGAAGCATAGCAAGAGTATTAACTATAGCAAACTTCAACACTTCAATGCTAGCTTTTAATATAGAGTTCCTAGACTCTTATCCAGTATTGATAATAGCCCTAGCTTGTATTATTATATATCTAAATATATTATTTTACTAATATAGTTGGTCCAGGGGTCTGTGTACCATTTGCGCTTTTCCGTATTCCTAATTCCGAAATACTAACTAATATTATCTTGCTATATAGTAGATATATATATAATTTGATCAAAAATAATAAACCAGGGCTACGCGAGAATGATCTTTTATAAAGTAGAAGATAATTAACCAAGAAAATTTTGTAGAGAAAGAGTATGAGGAGTTGGGACTACTATTTAAGCTACAGGTCAAAAACCAATTTGGTTATGCTGTTATAAAAACTGTTGTTTTAGAGGGGCCAGACAGGAATTGGTATTGCAATTCCCAGTGCTCTTTAGATTAATATTATATTACACAGAGTATCAATTCTATAGTAGTTAAAAGGAGGCTGAACTGTTTATGTATTTGCACTTAGATTATTAATTTATTTCTTAAGAGGTTTGGCCGGCTCGTTGAAGATTTGTTAATTATAATATTACTCTACTCGAGTATGTTGTATACTATGAGAATATCGAGATAGTGTAGATCTATTTCTACTATACTTACAGACAATTCTTGTACTGCATAATTTATCATTTTCTCTGGTAGATAATTATTTATTATAATATTTTATATATAAGGCCTATAGGAATGCTCTATAAGTAAGGCAGCGTTTATTATATTAGGGTTGGGGGAAAAAGTCAAAGAGTCTTAATATTTATACCGTTTTTATAATCATTTATATAGACTGGTATTTTGTAGAAATCTTGCAGGTAGCTTGCCCTTGGCGAAATTAAAATATATAAATATACGTCTGGTAAATTAAGGATATGATACTATGGTATCCTATAGGGGTAAGGATGGATAATAGAAGGTAAACATTATTTTTTTGTTTACCAAGCTCCGAGAAAATCTATCTAAAGGTATCCTATTAATAGCACTTTTGTAAGCTCGGAAGATAGTTCGCGCATCCAAAACCTTGCGTGACGGAAGATTGTAACTAAAGTAGGTTTAATGAGATTGTTCTTTCTAGTGATCGGTCATTGAAAATTAGTAAATAGTTATATAATTGGGTATAGTACGTAATACACTTGGAACTCTCGTGTATCTCCTTAACCCACAGGTTTATTTTCTCTAGAAAATGAATCAAAAGTAAATATACTAGCACCGGTCAGGACCTATGACAATGACCTATAGAAATGAGGGCGGCACCAAAGACCGACTCCGCATATACAAATTGGGAGTTTACGTTCGTAGTAAATGACCGGGTTGGTCCCATGGTCCCGAGAAGAAAGATTAATGTATGTGTATACACAAATCTATGTAGTGGTATCATGCTATTATGGTAGTGAATAGGATTCTAGCTGAAGTAGGCATGCACCACCAGGACACTTTGTATAATAGATCCTGCCTGATACGCTGGTCCTATTTTCACTAATTAGATACTATAATTTATATGCTTTCGTGGTTATTCTAATTGAGTATTTACTAGTGTGGGGGAGATAACTATTTAAAAGGTCCTTTACTAAAATAAGGGAAGTATAGGAGTATATTTAGCAGGATATCACTGCGACTATGGAGTACTGGAAATTTCTATAATATAAGATAACTTCAAGTATACCTGATAATATATACTAGATTAATCCTAAGTTAGGTTAGCCTAGTTATATCATAACTTTAAGTTCATATGGCAACCTTTATGGCGAGGTTGATATATTCTTCCTCTGTTAAGTCCATGATATATGGCAAATACCCCATACAACCCTAGAATAATCGCATCGGAATCAGTACTCTGTACTTGTTCCACTTTTATTATATTCTGGCGATGTATATGGCTGGAACGGATTTAGAAAAAGGTATCAGAATCTTATATTTATAATCAATGAAAGAAAGGATATAAGACTATAGAGAGGAAGTCTCGCATTCGTGTTTAGATATATTAATAAAGATGTACTCTGGTCCTAGTAGAAGTATGTCACTTATTAATTAGCTGGTTATGTTTATCTAACCGTCCACGCGGAACGGTTGTTAGTCATTCGTAAAGAGCCAGTAACTACTTAACTAACGGTTACGTCGCATTTTACTTAGCTGCTGAACAGTTACTCAACCTAAAAATAAACCAATTTATAATATAATACTCTAAACAACCCCTTAACAAATCACGAAACTGAAATTTAGATCATGGCAGATTGTAACGATAAATTAAGACCAACTAGTATAGGTAGAGGTATTGCTAGTATATGTTTGATAAACATGTCCATCTAATTATACCTAATTATAATATTCAACTCTAAGACTTATACTCGTCTCGGATGATTTTGGTAGTGCTTATATGGATATGTCAAAATAGCCTATAAAACTCTAGTCATCCCTGAAACAGTAAACGGTCCCAAGTAAACTCTGGAATCTAAATAAATTGCTTCTTAATAAGTGCAATACGATAGATCATACTATATTATCTGGTATTTATAGTATTGAAAGTGTCTATTGACAGTCACCTAATAATAGAATCGCCAACTGCTGCTGGTTATGCAAAATGGGACAAAGTCAAAGGTAATATCTTTATATATATTGCTAGGTCCTCGATAACAGCGGAACCGGCTATAGCATCCTATTATAATCTAGAAAAGAATCACTCGTTTTCCAAATATATATATACTGGGGGGTTATAAGCTTATGTCATTGTCCGCTATTAGAAAAGCCCTGTCGGTAAGTAACTTAATATATTCAGTAAATCTTGACCATCGGCTAACGGCAGTATCTTTCTAGGCCTATACGACGAGCTTCTATAGATACCTAGGGCTTTCAGGCTTCCAGAAGCTGGAAAGATAATATACCAAGCTACACGAATCTATATCTCTAATAAGAACGCTGTATATCAAGGTTTGTAGTAAAATAAATTCCAATTATAGAGACTTATAAAAAAGAAAATAATAAGTAAGCTAATATACCCTTTATTAGGCTGTAGTAACTGGAATATATCTAAAATAGTAAATTTAGTAAATGATTTCTTCAAGTGAGCTCTATTTTAATTGATATACTCGTTGGATAGCTCGCGAGATTTAAATTTACCAAATCCAAAAGCAATTATCTTCCTTACAGTAAGATAAAAATATTAATTTATAAAGAAAGTGAGCTTTTTCTAGAACTAAAATTAATACTAGTATTTTTCAACTCGCGAATAATACTCCCTATTAACTCCAAGTTTTTTCTATTTAACCTAAGATTTGTATTTCTCTCGCTCCTGAAAAGTAGAAATAAGTAAGAAGACAAGCGTGTAGGAATAACAGAATGGATGTAAGTTTTTTTAAGTGTCGCGGGAAGGGTCGGAGTTGTCAAAATATCCATTTCATAGATATCTAGAAATCTTTTCCCTGATTTGGGCGGAAAATGCTACTGGCTATGGTTAAAAAATGCGGAGATTCGAATTAAGGGGTTCCTCTATCACACAGCTATTTCTAGTACTCTACATAGGTAGAAGCATTAGAATATTAAACTTGATGATTAATACAAATTATTTAATGCTAAACTAAGCTACTTTAATTTAAGCCTTGCAATATATCTAAAGTATTTTAAAGAATATATACAATATACGTACAGAGTATCTAGAAAAATGGACTACCTACTCTATATTTTCTCGAGTATATAATATCAAGAAAGCCCGCGTTGCAATCTATTGAATCTACCTGATCTATATAATATAATTAAATATTCTAAACAAGAATAAATATAATTAAGCAATTAAGATTTACTATAAAGAGTTAAGAAATTGGTAACAGAGTAAGTAAGTGGCGACAATAGTAAGCTATAAATATAAATAAAATAGTATAGTATCAGATCTAAAGTATAAGTCAATAAATCTCGTACGAAAGGTGAACTACGAACATAGCTAGGCTTTCATGGAATCAAGGCGTACCTAGGTACATACCACGGCTTTAAAATGTTAAAAATATGTGAGCTTAGCAATATAAACGGGGCCTGTGATTGGCAGAACTCGGAATTTCTGTCTTAGAGTAGGTTCTATCTAGTTTTGTAGTATATCGAAAATTGTAAGAATTCTTAAAATATAGTATATATTTGAAATTACACTGCTACTGGATAGTAGTATCACTATCTACACTCTTCGATTATATCGGTAACCCTAGTGTAAAATAATGCTAATCCACTTTAGGAAGTTTTATTAGAATATAGTTATCCCGCGTATATATTATAAAATATAGAGATACTATAATAAGCGTAATTTACTAGACAAAGAGTCTATGTATTTTCGTTGAATATTCTCTCTATCTAAATTAGGGATGCGCTCTGCTGTAAAGGCTAGTTTAAAAAAATACTCGATAATAAGCAAAGGAATATAATACTAAATAACGAGATAAATACACGTATTTTATTTTAGATTTCTACTCATACCACCTGGTTTATATTGACAAGTCTAGATAGTTAAAGAGATAGTTTAACTTCCCTTATAAATTCGTAGAATCGATCGCTTAGTCGATCTAATATTACACCGACAGTCTTTGGTTCAATAGAACTAGATCAAATAGCTTCGCTAATAGACTCGTATCTAGTATTTTTTTCAATTTATCTATGTTAAAACTACACTCTCACGGGATAGTCTTCTTATCAGAGATCAAGGAATATAATTTAACCCGATTCTAATATTTACTACTATAGCTAAGAGAATAGTAATAGCTTAATAATATCTTATATCTTAATAAGATCTTGTATAGTAGCTATAATTAATTAATATAAATAGCTAGATCCTTACCTTTCAGCCGCGCTAATATATTAAAATATAAAATATTATTTTATAAGAATAATAATAATAGTTATTATTATTTAGAATATCTTATAATCTTAGGTAATTAATATCGGGACGAGTAGAAATATTTATTTAATAGAGAGAATACGTCTGTAAAACCTAAAGTAAAAATTTCTATCTATAATTAATATACTTTTGTTATAGACTCTTATCTAGCGTACCTTATCAAAGGCGGACACACGAGATAGAATAACAATAGAATAACAACGGCCGATTCTAGAGCAGCTAGCATCCAACGAATCGTTTACCCAGTAGTTATTTAAAAAGGATATAAATATCGATACCAGCTACCACGACAAAGTCATATATATTATAGCAGTAACACGACCAAATATATCAATAATACGACGAGATTGTAGCATTGATAAGATATACTATATTGTTAACACGAGGTATCGTAGTAGTAATACAATAAAGGAGGATATATAAGGATATTCATTTATATACTTAGTTTAGTTTTTTGTGATCAATTTATATTATTACTTGATAGCTATATTCTAGTATTTTATATTAGCTTAACTCATTCGCACTATTTAACAATTGAGTATACGTACTCAATTGGCCTGGCCTTTCTACCTTGGACTATTTATAAGTAGTATCGTTATCTTCATACTATTGAATTGTTTAGACTATATTAGGTCACTCTTCGTCACTAATCGCTAGTAGATTCTAGTTATTAGATAAGTTATATTTAACTAAGATAGCTAACTAGTCGTAGAATCCTTAGACGAATACCCGGGCGTAATAACTTTGCTAATTAATTGAGCTAGATAAAGAAAGATCTTTAGGAACCCGCGGTAGAAGCGAAGATAAAGTTATTTCTTTAATCCGTACCCGATAACAATACTTTTTATATAATCTTCGACTAGGGTAGTGAGCGCTGCGTTAGGACTAGGTACTACTATATTAATAATATTATAAAGTTCCTGTATATTGATAAGGATAGTAATGTCTACAAAAGCGCTGCTAAATATCTAATATATTTATATAATAGTTTAATAATCTACAATAGTATTCAGAATATATAGATCTAGGAGGAAAGCGGGAAAGTATTCTAGATATATTTAAATATATCTATTATTTTATTAACCTCCTGGTGGTAAATTCAATGTCTAAGTTAATTTTACTTTCTTTGTAGATTTACTAGTATACTAAGAAATATAGGTCTCTTTACCTTAAGATTATAGCGTAGATTATCTTAAGTTATAGGAGAAATTAATATCTAGGTTATTATTCTATCTTACACTACTAGAATCTAGACCTTCTTAACTAATATGCTTCCCAGCTACGCTTTTAATCCTAGTCCCGGTAGTAGAAGCAAAGGAATGAAAAAAAAAAAAAAAAAAAAAAAAAAAAAAAAAAAAACATATAATAGTTATAAGTAAGATTGTGGTTATCTAGCGCCTACGATTCAAGAGTGGATAACTCACCGCCTGATTCAGACCTCTTCAGGCCTATCCGGCCGATTATTTACGTACCTGAATATATAGGTATCGAGATGTATATTTTTGCATTTCAAAATTTTTGCCCTTTGTAAATGATCCCAAATCGCTACTATTGGATTTCTCCAGTTTTCAAGTTACTAATATACGGCCCCAATTCTACTTTTAGTAGCCCTGGAGGCCGGGTAAGTAGATAAGATTGAAAACAAATATTTAAAATTAACAAAGAGAATATATAATTCCCTAATATTTTAATAAAATCTTGTAAGAAAATATGACAGTCAAACATTTCTAGGTGGGACTTTAGATTTAATTTTAACGTAGTCGATAAGCGAGCTGCGTACCCGTGAACTTTTTCACGTCTTAAAATATTAATCTCTTTTTTATCGATTACTATACTAACAATTCGAGTCAAATTAACCCAAGATTTATCTAATAGAGAGGAGCGTATATCACTTGCTATATAGATTATTTAAAAATAAGAGATCAATTCTATACGTAAAACGGGACGCCGTTTCAATATATTTGAATTTATATTACAAATACGACTACACGGTGCACCAAATTACACTGACACTTGCGCAGATAATATCATAACTTTCCCCGCTTCACTAGATAGGATATTACCCATTTCTTGCACAATAGACGGTCGCGGTACCAATCCACATATATTTATAGAGATAATCCATTCCTTTAACGAATTCTTTTCAATTTCGGTCAATTTAGTAAAATTGGTGCGTAATTCAACGCGGTTTTGACATCTGTTAAGCCAGTCTTGGAGCGTTGTCCTAGGGATATTATATATCTATGCTGCGCGACGACTTGATAACTTTTCTTACTTTTCAATAGCTTTGACAGTAAGTAGGATCTGACTTTGTTCTGCTAATTTTGGACAATTTTAAAAGTGAATTGGTAGTATAGTAATTGGTTAAAGAAGGTGGGTCGAAATAATTAACACGTTTGGGTGGGGGTGGCCGACTCGCTTAAGAAA